ATCTCAAGAAAAATAGATCAAAAGATGCGATCACTTGATCGTGGAAACAAATTTGTCAGGTCGACATATGAAATGTATACTCATCGAATAAATTATAAAATAAACTTATTATGTCACTTGCTATGCGGAATAAGTCATATTATGGAAACAAAAGCTGTTGCACATTAACACCATTTAATTAAAGAATAAAAACTCATGATGATGGACTATTAACGGTTCCGACAGGTTCCTGGCAAAATGGAGCGATGGTTGTACCACCACTTAAACAGATCAACTTTGCTTCATATCAAAGTGATTTTCACAAGCAAGAGTGTTGTCCAATGATAAATCAGAACCCTTAACCACATCTTCCTTGAACACCTTGAAAAGAAGAAAAGGCCTTATAAAAATATGCAAATAAGAATAGATTTCCTAATATTAAAGAAATAATTAAACACAATGGCAAAAGTAAATATAATTAACAAATAATTAATAAGAAGTAATTACAAATACAAAACTTTTTATTTTATTTTTATTAATTAGTCTTTAAAATCAATATTATAATCTTAAAAATTGTTTCTAGTTTTTCATTATCCAATATTTAATCAAGCCTACAACTGCGTCGCACGGGAACTCAAAGTATTTCTGAAATATGAAAAGAAAAAATGTGCAAATTTTATATTTACATTAAGACTGAAAAGTTTTCGGAAATTCTCATTTAAAATTCGCGCGCTGTATATTTTTCGATATTTTAAGTTTATGTAGTTTGGCAGCACTGTCCTTAATTACTATGCCAAAAATGAGCGCGATCTGTCAGACAGTTCGTTTACGGCAGCTGTTGAAACCAGTTCACCTCAGTAGTGCGTTGCGAAATGTCTTCGACGGTCGTACGACCGTCCTGAAAGGCTTTGTACCACTCATAAACTTGAGTTTTCGATAAAACTGATTCCCCATAAGCCTTTTGTAGCATTCGCAACGATTCTGCACACGAAATTTCGTTCGAAACACAAAATTTGATGCAAACTCTTTGTTCAATATTTTTTTCCATTGTTTTTTTCGCAACGCACTACTGAGGTGAACTGGTTTCAACAGCTGCCGTAAACGAACTGTCTGACAGATCGCGCTCATTTTTGGCATAGTAATTGTGGTTAGTGCTGCCAAACTACATAAACTTAAAATATCGAAAAATATACAGCGCGCGAATTTTAAATGAGAATTTCCGAAAACTTTTCGGTCTTAATGTAAAATAATTTAACTTGACATAATCAAAAAATATGAATTAAACTCACTTCTCTTGGTAGCATTCCAACCAATTTTAGCTTTACTTTCTTTATTTTGACTCTCAACCCAATCGAATATTGGAGTATAGTATTCAATAAGTGCATCTCCACTTAATTTTGGATCAGGCAGAACTTTCCCAAGAACCTCTTTCCACGGTTTCGATGATCCCAATGCCATCATAGCCCTATAAAGAAAAAGTTCCATATTCTTTTCACAACACTGACACAAATACTAATTATTGGTTCTTACTTTAAATCGTTTCCAACTTCATGACTTCCGTAGAAATCACAGTTGTTGAGTTCTGTTACTTGTCCAGTCTTCTTACAGAATGCTCTATAAAATTGATAGCCGAGAACTTCACCAACGAATTTTCTAGTTTAAATACGAATAAAGGTAGTAAAATATATTAAAATCTATTTTAAGCAATCCCATTTATTTACATATTTCGGTACATAGGATTAAAAAAGTAATGGAATAATAATTTTTAATGCGGACAACAAATAAAAAAATAAACGCTACTGAAATAAATAAGTTTATTCACTTCATCCTTTTTTTGTTTGATTCTGAAATCAGATTTAATTATTTTAATTATTTTTAATTATTTTGGGAGCCATCATTCAAAACATTAAGAAAAATACTCTAGCAAAAACTAACTGAATAAGGAACATAGAGAGATGTTAGAGACGATGGAGAATTCTTAGAAATGACAATTTAACTAAAAATGTTTATATTACAATCTGTATCACTGACCTTTCATTGCATAACTTTAGCCTTTAACTGAAATAGTGAATAAAACTTATAGTTAAAAGAAAAATTTTACACAACACAAATAAAGATGTTGGCTTTGGCTTTGACGTATATAAATTTATATCAATAAGAATAAAATCCTGATAAGAATACAAAAATCCTAACAAACCTATTAGAGCCTTCTTCCATTTATTTTCTTGTTAAAGTGTGCACGAATTTTCCCTAAACTAGGAAGTATACTTACTTGGTTTGCATATTTTTTTCAATGTCTAAGAAAAATTTATATGTAAAATCAATATCTTCTTCATCACGGTCTATTGGTGGTTCAACACCAACGTATTCCTCCATTAATTTCCAATAATGTTTATTAACTTCTTTATCTTCAATTGTGCCATCCAACAAATCATGCATAACTCTTGTATGAACGTAGTAGATTGGTATGTTAAATAATGTATGGATACCCTACAATTAATTAAATATGAAGGTTTTAACATTATCCATTAAGAATAAAACAAAGTCAAATCTTACCATACGGAATAAGCGGTTAAATAAAGTGTGATTAGAAAATTCAAAGTCTTTAGCCAAGCCTATTGCAGTCAAATGTTTTGGTGTGCTTGCTGATAATATAACAGCCTCGCCCACGGAATATTCCAAGTCATAAGAATTGAAATAATAAGATGGTAAATTTTTTTTTTCTGTGGCATAATGAAGTTGACCCATGTACCCATGATTCTGCATAAATTTTTTGAAATCTACAGAATTACAGTATTTCATATAAACTTTCGGTGTATCATCGAAGATGGAGGCTCTACAATTTTGCACATTATCAGATTCATCATTTATCTTCAAACGATCTCGCTTAAATTCTTCATCAAGTGGATCAAAACCTAATGATTGATAAAAACGTTCTGCTTCTTCTATAATCTGTTTAGCATCGAATTTCTCAACCAATTTGTTATATGGTGGAAGTTCTTTAAATGGAAAATAACTTTCGATAACACTTCCCTCATACCATGGTTGTTCTAATACTTGTAAGAATATATGTACCGGAATAGGTCCATTTACATCAATAACATTTTCTCCATACTTCTTCTTCAATTCATTACGCACAAAAGCATGTAGCTGTTGATACGGTTCCTTTATATCTTTCATAACAGCATCCATTTCTTTAAGCATCTCTCCAGTGTTATATGAACGATACCAAAATGCATGTATTGGAAAATCTAATAAATTAAATATATTAAATATTATTGTTATATATTATTATTACATTTCTTCATATTAAAGTAATACCGAACGCTTTAGCTGCTTTCTTTATGACTTCAACTATTTCGAAAAAATGTGCTGAAGACCAAATGTAGTTGGTGTTACGCCAAGCTGTCCAATAATATTTAAGTTCCTCGGGGTCGGTACTTTTCTGAAATACTTCTTGAATATCTGGTATATATGCTAACGATTCATTATTAGGCCTATTTACACCATCCAGATATGGATCAATATCTTTGTCAGATGCTAGTTCGTTTAAAGACACTACACTCGACAAAACATCTTCGAAATCGTCTCCTAACACAACAATATCGCCCGTCATTTTCAAAGTTTGTATTGCTTGTTTTGTTTCTTCATTTTTAATTTTACTTAAATCAAAATTTTTTGCATTTGTCGCAATTTCGGCGAGACCACCAGCAATGTTCTTAACATTTTCAAATTTGGATAGCAACTGCTCAAAATCATCGTCAGCATCCATAGATGTAAAAATCTCATCAGCAAGTTTGTTATATAATTCATAGTATTTATCACTGGCCTCTTTAATGAATTTCTTAGCTTCAATGTCGTCATTTGTTGCCCCGTGGGAAAGCTAATATATAATAATTGTAGATGAAAATAAATTAATTATACTTTATGTAC